TAAAAAATGTTCAAAAGACATTTTAAAAATTATTTTAAATAAATTGACAAGCAAAACAATAATATTGATTCTTCTATTAATTTATCTCTCAAAAATAACGGTTGTTGCGAATCCCTGTACGAAAAATGAAAAATTAAAATTCGTAGAGATGCATGAATGTGTTCATGACGGTTTAGTGATTAAAAGGGATAATCAAGGATTATTATGCTGGGAATATATTGATTGCAAAGAAAAACATTTGAGAATACAAAAAGAAATGTATAATAATTATTGCGGGGAAAAATGCTCATGTCCTTCATGGACAAATCAATGTAGCTTTTACTATGGGCCATCCGTAAAAAATTCAACTTTAAAAAATAAAAGCGTATACGAAATATTAAATTCCCAAGAAGTAAAAGCGAAATTGTGTAAAATAGAATCTGGAGATAATTGTGCAAAATTACGAACAATAAAAGAATTTAATCAAATTGAACTTTATGATGGTAATAAAATACTAGTAAATGATTTAAATATAATAATAGAAGACTTAATGGAAAATGAGTACGTGTGTGTAGGGCAAGGACCCGTAACTGGCTCAGCAAAATTTTGTGAAAATCATCATTGTAATGAGAGAGGTACACAACTTTGCTATTATGTTCGAAGTGAAATTGCATTTTTAGAAACAAGTAAAGAGAAAATACCAATTAAAGCCTGGGGAAGAGTAAAAATTAAAACAAATGAATTTTTAGATAAAAAAGAAAATTTAATTTGTAAAAAATGTGAATTGAAGTGTACAAAAGATGGTATCGAAATAAAAAATGAGGGAAAATTAAATGGTATTGAGATATGTGTAAATAAAAAATGTGTATATAAATCCTTTCCAGACGAAACAGAAAAAATGATTTTTTCGAAAAATATTTTAGTAAATGATTATAATGTTATGACTAGCTTTTTTAGAAATGGAGAGAAGCTAAAAGAAATAGAAATAGTGTGTGAAAGACAGAATGTTTGCGTATTAATTGAATGCACACTATGTTGGGAATACTTAAAGAATCCTCATTGTTATCCTGAAATAGCAATGATAACCTTTGGAATAACTTTGTACTTATTAACAAGTACAATTTTGATGATATTTAAAATTATTAAATTTGTTTTAAAATTTCTAAAAATATTGTTTATATTTAAAATTAAATGTATTAAATGGATTGGGAAAGTAATAATAAAAGATAGATCAAATAAAAACAGAAAAGATAAAAATAAAACAAAAGAATTCAATCCCAAAAATTTAGAAAATTCCCAGTTACTTCCGATGAAAATCATGATAACTATTATAATTTTTTATTTAATAAAAGATGTTAAAAGTTTAACTTCAATTAATGCAAGAGAGGAAAGTTGCACGGTAAATAAATTAGGAGAAAGAAATTGTCTTTTTGAAGAGATTATTGAAATTAACTTAAATCCACATAATCAAATAGTAAAAATATTATTAAATGACCATACAGGAAAATTAGCCGGGACAATTGAAATTGAAGTACATTATGTGGAGATGATCTGTACTAAAGCAATTAAATTCTTTTCTAGAACCTACCAAATAAAAACAATGTCAGTCAAACGTTGTTATTCGGAGGGGAGCTGCGTGGATAATAAATGCAGTGAATTAAAAACAAATGAAAAAATAGATGAATTAAAAGATATAAATAAATTTCCCGGAATAACCCAATGCGTTGAATCTGATGGGGGCTGGTTTCAAGGATGTTTTTACACGGTCCCCGCATGCACATATTATAGATATTATGCTATACCATCAGAAAAAGAAATATTGGATATATTTACTTGTGATAAGTGGGAACCAATAATTAAAATAAATAATAAATTAATTGATAGTCATGGAAATATAACGAATAGTATGTTTAATTTAATACCAGGAAGAAAAGTCACAAATAATAAAATAGAAATAACATTAAAAGATATTACAATGGGATTAATTCCCATGCTTGCAAGCACTTTTGTTTCAAATTCAAAGAAAATTGCGAAAATAGATACTGAAACAGAGAATAATTTAAGAATGTTTAAATGTAAATCAAGAACAGAAGCAAAAACATTTTTAAATTGTAAAATAGATCCAAATATTTGTCACTGCCGCCCTGCGGATAATAAAGTTAATTGTGATTGTAAAGAATTAAACAATCAGAGTATGATTTTTAAACCAGAAAATAGTTTACCATTTTCACATAATGGTATAATGATTAAAAATAAATTTGGAAACATAATAGCAGCAACAGAAATTTCCTCCGCTACTTTACAATTTAAATTGCAAGGAATGAAACTTAAAACTGAAATTGAGCTAAATAAATGTTTAATAACAAATGTGAGTCTATATGGATGTTATGAATGTGATGAGGGTGCTAAAGTATATCTGACTTGTAATACAGACTTTGGAAAATCATTGGCAAATATTGTTTGCCCGAGTATAAACATGTTTACAACATGTGGGCCTAAAGGAATTGATAAAGTTATATCGATAAATTTAAATAAGGCGCATATTGAAGAAGAATGCGAAGTTTTTTGTGGATTACACCCTACTACTTTTAAATTAAAAGGAACGCTCGCAGCAACAGAAAATAAATATATCGATTTTTGGAATAAAGTAGAAAATAAAGAAAAGAGAATTGAAACAAAAGCTTTTATACATTGGCTACAACAGTTTGACTACACCAATCTTTTCTTTTACTTGATCAATCCGCGCTACCTTTTTATTTTTCTCTGCACTCTTCTTATATTACTGATTCTGTTTTATTGCTGTATGCCTCTTCTCTTTCGTTTAATGCTTAAAAGAGGAATGCAAATTTTTTGCGCTCGGAGTGTTGGAGATGACGGAAATCATATGAAGATAATTTAAAGATTATTAATTTGAAATTTATTTTTGTAAAATATTTTTATTCATTTTTTTCCATTCTTTTAATATTTTCTAAATTCTTGAATTGTCATATTTTGCCCTTATTATTATTCAACAATTTTCTCAAAATATTTTTATTCTCTTTTGTTTCATAATTTTAAATCTGATGCAATTGTTCTACCCTTATTTAAACTTTTTCAATCCTCCCAAAAGACATTCACTTTTTACTATCTTTCCCCCCAAAAGCAAATCACCCAAATAAATTGTATAATTTTAAAGAATAAATATTTGTAAGTTTAGTTAAAATTATTGTAAATTGTCGTGATACGACACCCATTATGTTCAAAATTAAGAGAGAAAATAAAAGAAAGCTAAAGTTTATTCTAGGGTTGCCGTCCGAAACCCGACCCGAAACCCGGCCTTTTTTTTACACGAAACACGATGCCCGAAAAAAAATTTCCCGACCCGAAACCCGAAATGAAAATTTTATAACCCGAAACCCGTACCCGAAGATTTTTTGTACCCGCGGCAACCCTGGTTTATTCTATCATTGATTAATCTTATAAATTACAACCACAAGCTATAATTTTTGATTTTTAAAAGGCTCACTTAAAGTCATTCTAGGATCATTTTCAGATAAAGCCAACGGATCAGAAGCAGGTCCTTCCAAAGGAGTAGAGACGTTACTCAAAGGTGATTTAAATAAACGATCTCGATTTAATTGTATAGGGTTTTTAATTGGTGTTTGTGGTGATAATGTTGGTTCCGATGAATGTTGTTCTTGTTGGGAGTTGGAAGGACTTGTTAAATCCATTATAGGGGGATGATGTATTTCTCGATTCTTTTCTGTATTGTTGCCATATAGTTCATAATCCACATGATTATTTTGTAAAAATCTTTGATCACTTTGTTCTCCTCCCACTATTTGTTGCACTTGTTGTTGATTTTGAGCAACGTTTTTGTCTTTATCTAGATAGATATTAATATATTTTATGGTTGATTAATAAAATTAATTGGGAGAAGAATCGAAAAATAAACAATTTTGGAAAGGTATGATATTAAATCTAGGGGTACCCCCGATGTACCGCGAGCCCAATGTACCGCCGAGCTATAACTTTGTTCAAAATTGTCAAATTCGTGGCGCCCTGGTATGGTTCGATGCGCCTTGACCAGCTGAAGGGCGCCACGGATTCGACAATTTTGAACAAAGTTATAGCTCGGCGGTACATAGGGTTCGCGGTACACTAGCCTGCTCCCAAATCTATGCTAAAAATGAAAGACTCTTTAGTATGAGAGAACCCTTCTTTTAATTCGAAATTAATAGGCATAGAATATGAGTGATTAATATTTTTAGCATCCAGTTATTTAACTGAATTAAAGAGACGGTTCCGGATTTCGGAAGCAAATAACAGAATTATCTGTAGCATAATAAGAGGAACTAATGAAATAGCATAATTAATTTTATACTTATTTGTTTTTGATGTTTATGTAAAATTTGCATAAGTCCACCAAAATCATCATCATTTACAAAATCTGTATCGAAGATAGGATGAGGCTGAATAATCATTTAAATTAGTTAAATAAAGAATTTTTATAGAAATTATTAGTAATGAGATAATAAAGAAAAAATGTACTTGTAGATTTTGTGTACCCAATCCTTGCTCTTGATACCCTACAAAATCACCGCCATGTTGGTGAACAGCACTTTTCCCTTTCTTTGCAACTAAAATAATGTATTATTTTCTAAGCTCAAAATCAAGCGTATTTTTGATACCGTTTTGAGGCATATGTTCATATTCGTCCAATGTTCGTTTCTCAACAATGGCATCGTCCTCATTATCTTAAAATTAAATAGTTCTTAAATCATATAGATGTAAGATTTTTGTTTCCAATTTCCGAATTGGAAGAAAAATTTCCAAGAGAAAAAATTTCCGAATTGGAAGAGAACTACCAAAAATCCTTCAAGATCCTCCAATTTCTTTGGCTACCATTAATGAATACACAGGGTCAATAAAGGTAGTCGCTAGGATTCCAGTGTTACTGTTCCAATAAACGGTGTCAAAACACTGTTCTTAAACCCTTTTCCAAAAAATAAATATGTCTGATACACCCTAATTTAAAAAAATTAATGAATACGATTTTTAGTCCGGTAATGGTTGTTTGTTTCAACATGTTGTTGATGCATTTGTTTTTGATTTAGCCCACTTATCGGATAGGAAGGAATGTTTGTTTCAACATTTTGTGGTTGTTGATGAATATTTCCAATTGTTTGACTGGAAGGATTGTTTGTTTCAACATGTTGTTGCGTATGTCCAACAATTGGAGGGTAAGGAATGTTTGTTCTATCGTATTGTACTTGTTGCTGGTTTAGTGAATTTATTGGATGGAAATGATTGACTTCTACAACATGATGTTGTTGATGTATTTGTTGATTTTGTCCAGATATATGCTGTGAATGTGCCTGAAGTCCACTTTGTTGATGGAAAGGAATGGTTGTTTTATCATGTTGTGTTTGTTGTTGTTGATTTTGAGCATTCGTTGGAGTAATTATTTGTTGCTGGTTCGTTCCAAATCTACTTGGTTGTGGTTGATTTTGTATTCCGGCAGGAAGTGGTAGCATTTTTGCGTAGTGAGGATTACTTTTCTTTTGATGATTCAAAAAATTTTGAGCCAAAACATGTGGAACAGGTGGAGGTACGCGAGGTAAGGCATACTGTACTCCTCCCAATTGAATAGTCAATGGATGAGCTCGTGGTTGTTGTAAACTATAATAGATGATAGAGGAAATTTTATATTTAAAAAAAGTTTAAAGAAGGAAGGTGAGGATGTCTAAGATGTGTTAAATCCCTCGTTAGTTAGTATTTCATAGCTAATTATCTGTAGCTTTCATAGAGCTGAGTAAACGTAGTTATGTTTAAATAATCTACCCCAAAGCGGTAAGAGGTAGCATCATAATTAGGGATCATAATATAGAAATTTTATGAGATAGAAATCCCTTTGGTCTTTGATAAGGATAAATTTCGGCACCTAATAATTGCTTTGATAAATCTCTTTGATGAGGGATTTGTCGTGATAAAGCATCAAATGTTCGATTTAGTGCTGGGTATGGCTCCGGGAGCTAGCTAATTGTAAGATTTTAAAATCCATATAAAAGAATCGATGATTTTTAATTGATCATTTACCTTGAAAATTGTGGTAATGGTATAGGATTCGCCTTATTAAAAGGATTATCCGGGCTTGTAAAAATCTTTTGTCTATTTTTGTTTCTTTCATCGCACCGTTTATGATATTCATTAACTTCTTTTTGACAAATTTCAATTAATTTATTGTTATCTAAATTCGGAGTTTGGCTTTTAACTATTTCGAGACACTTTTCCTGCATTAGACGAATTGCAGCGGAATCTATTTGATCAGCCGTCCAAATTTTATCAAGTTTTTGAGTTGAATCAGATTTTGTAAAATTTTCTAAACTAGCGGAGGGGGTCGCCCTTCGGGCGAGCCCCTTCCGCTAGCCAAATTCTAAACATTACAATTCTAAACCTTTATCAACTATTAACTAAGATTTTCAACCATTAACTATTAATATCTAAGTCAACTATTAACTATTAGCTAAGATTTTCAACTTTCACTATTAACTATTAATATCTATTTTAACTATTAACTATTAACAATGATTCAACTATTAACTAAAATTTTCAACTTTCACTATTAACTATTAATATCTATTTTTCTACTATTAACTATCAATTTTCAACTATCAATTTTGAATTAACTATTAACAATGATTCAACTATTAACTAAAATTTTCAACTTTCACTATTAACTTAATATCTATTTCATCTATTAACTATCAATCTTCAACTATTAACAATGAACACTATATTCTTTTTTCTATTGACGGGTCTTTTATCTTGTTTATTGACGAATCCTTGCTCAAGCCATTTGACAGACACTTGTCTCTTGCATGTTGCTCGAAATCTCTACTTCCCACTATTGTCAGACCCTTTTCACCCGTTTACTGGACCATTTTCGCTTAACAGTATTCCAACCATTTCCAGACCCTTTTCACCCAGTTACGGGACCCTTTTTGCTCACCATTATTCCAACCATTTCCAGACCCTTTTCACCCAGTTACTGGACCATTTTCGCTTAACAGTATTCCAACCATTTCCAGACCCTTTTCACCCAGTTACGGGACCCTTTTTGCTCACCATTATTCCAACCATTTCCAGACCCTTTTCACCCATTTGCGGGACCCTTTTCGCTCACCATTATTCCAACCATTTCCAGTCCCTTTTCACCAAGTCACGGGACCCTCACCCAGTTACGGGACCCTTTTCGCTCACCATTATTCCAACCATTTTCAGACCTTTTCACCCAGTTAATAGTAAAAGAACTTTTTTACTATATATACTACTTAGTTAATAGTTAATAGTAAAAGAACTTTTTACTATATATACCACAACCGATAGTTAATAGTTAATAGTAAAAGAACTTTTTTACTATATATACTACAACTGTTATACTAAACTGTTAGTCACTCTAGTAACTATTTAGTGTCACACAATGTCAAACTCTAGGACTATCAACTATTTAGCATTACACTATGTCAACCTTGCTAGTACTATCAATTATAAGCTATTTAGTATCACACAATGTCAAACTATAGTACTCTACTTCAGTACTCTACTTTAGTACTACTCTACTTTAATATTTAATAGTAAAAGAACTTTTTACTATATATACTACAACTGTTAGTTAATAGTTAATAGTAAAAGAACTTTTTACTATATATACTACAACTGTTAGTTAATAGTAAAAGAACTTTTTTACTATATATACTACAACTGTTATACTACAACTGTTAGTCACTCTAGTACTCTCAACTATTTAGTGTCACTCAATGTCAAACTCTAGGACTATCAACTATTTAGCATCACACTATGTCAATCTTGCTAGTACTATCAATCTCACAATGCTAAACTATCTATTATCAATCACACAATCAACTATTTAGTATACACAATGTCAAGCTCTAGTACTTTCAGCTATTCAGTATCACATAATATCAAACAATCTAGGACCATCAACTACATAGTATCTCACTGTATTAAACTATCTAGGACTATCAACTACTTAGTATCTCACTGTATCAAACTATCAGGGACAATCACCTACTTAGTATCTCTGTGTCAAACTATCTAGGACCATCAACTATTTAGTATCGCATTGGCAAACACAGAAACATAACTTTAATCATGTTAAGGAACAAACCTCACAAAAATTAACCACCGGTTGGACACTCGTTGCTTAAATAAAATATCAGCACTGAAAACCAACAGTTTGACAGTCGAGTTGTCTAAATAATAGATTTTGATTTTGAATCTAAAAACAATTTTTAAATAAAACAAATTTTAACAAATAAAAAAACAAAACAATCAAAACACATCTTAAATACAATTAACAAACAAAAAAACCAAAAAAATTGCCAACAAAATAAAAAAAATAAAAAAAAATACCAAAAAAAGACAAACCAAAATCTAAAAAATTTACATTCTTTCTTTACTTCTCTAACTACACACTGTTTTTCATTTTGGGATATTCTGTCATTTTTAATTTAAAAATAAACACAACGCCAAACACAGCAAAATTCAAAGCTGCGGACAGACAGACAAACAGACATTAATTCTAAAATTATATATAGGATTTTTATATTTAGTACTTATTACTTAGTATTTTGTACTTTTGTATTCGGGGCTATATGTAAATATAACGATATTTTTGGGAAGTATCGATATCGAATTTCTTTCAAGAAAATTTCAGATTCTTCGAAATTTTTTGAATTTTGAACTATATGTATCTCAATCTTTGAATAATTTCAAAAAATTTGCCTGCCATATGGGATAAATATTTTATGAGAAAGTTTGCCACAACCCAGGGTTCCGCGGATACAACAAATCTTCGGGTACGGGTTTCAGGCGGCAACCCTGCCACAAACACACAAAAATTTATTATATGAGTATATTGATAACGATCATTTGCGGGGATCTTTCTAAATAGACTTTTAAAATTATGAAGGATATATCGGGTCATAAAAGTTTTAAAATATAATGTAATATTTGGATAATAATTCAGGCCCACAGGCCATAGCGAAATTTCACTCCTGAAAATTTATGGAGCTAATTTGTCTGAAATTGTCAGAGTTCGCAGTTTAACAGTTTTTCGCATTTATTTTAAAATTTTTGAAAAATTTCCAAGAAAATTTTACTTATCGGATGTTCTCGAATTAACTTTAGCATTTCTGAAAGATGTCCGTTTTCAAATGTTATTTTAGCACAATTCGGATTGTTTTGAAGAAACCAATCTTCTATTCTACTAAGATCAACAGAAATTGTTGGTGCTCCTATAATTTAAGCATTTATTTCAGAAAAGAATTGAAATACACTACTAATTTATATAATTCCTACGTAGCAAAAGTACTACTTAATTAAGTATGGTAGGGTATATTATGGTATTCTCAGAAGAAATTTAACAATTTGGGGTTTCCGCTGCCCTATTTCCTTTGACTAATGCCAACTCGATTAAGTGCCAAATTTTAGAGAAAATTTTACTTATCGGATAATTTGGTAATGTTTTAAACAATTCTTGAAGATGCCCGTCGTTGAAAGGCATATTAGCGTACTGTGGATAATTTTGACGAATACTATCTTCCAGTCCATTGCCATTACTTGAAGGAGTTGAAGTTCCTTCAAATTAATTTTTAAAAAATTATTAATTATTAAGAATCACAATAACCTCCTCCACCGTGTAGCACGGCATTTAAATAAGAACAACACATAAAAAGCAAAAATAACCACATTTCGTTCAAAGACTTTAAATTTTCTTTTAAAAATCTTTTAAATTAAAAAAAAATTATAAAATTTAAAAAAATTAAAAAATGAATAGAAGCATGAAAGCGGAGAAGGGGGAGGAGTGATGGGGGGGGGGGGGGAGGGATGGGGGGAGAGGGCAAGGAAGGAGAATAATGGCATTAAGAGTGGAGGCATTGTGAGGAGAGGTTTGACACTCATAAAAGATTTAATTGTTTAATTTTGACTCCCCCATCTCTTAATAAAAAAGTAAATAGAAGGGAGGTGGGGGAGGGGGAGGGGGGGGGGCAAGGAGGCAAGGAAGGGCATTGAGTGTGGTGACATTGTCAGGGGAGAGGAATGTTGGCTTTGAAAATGTGACACTCTCCCTTAAAATTAATTGTTTAATTTGGTGGGGGGGGGGGGGGGGGGAAGGGGGGGGGAGGGAGTAGGTGAGGGGAGAGGAGAGAAGGGAGAGTGCAAGGAAGGAGAATAATGCCATTGAGAGTGGAGGCATTGTGAAGGGAGGATTTGACAATGTGACACACTCATAAAAAATTACCTAATTGTTTATTTTAACTCCCCCATCTCTCAATAAAAAGGTAAATAGAAGGTACATAGGTGGAGGAGGGGGGAGACGAGTAAGGGCATTTATTGGGGAGGCATTGTCAGGGGAAAGAATGTCGAATTTGAAAATGTGACACTCAAAATTAATTGTTTAATTTGGTGGGGAAGGGGGGGGGGAGGAGGGAAGGAAGTAAGGAGAGAGCAA